AAAGATCACGATATTTAGTAGCCAACTACACCACTAACACGTGCATCGCACGTGCATCTAACTAGTATTATATAAAAAATGATTTCAATAGTATAAAATCATTTGTTCACCCAAATCTTTAAGTATCATAAGAAAATAATAAGTTGTACTACTCTCACAAATGTATACTATTTGTACAAGCTCGAATAAAAAGAAAAAATTAAAGTAATTATATTCACACCACAATTTTTATTTCTTACACTTAAAGTTCTTAATTTGCTCGTTATAGCATTTATGTCTCTAATGATTTTTCATGTCATTCATACCTTCAAACTTTCTACTAGTTAATGTCTTTTGTATTTGATAGTAACAGTTTTCAATTCAAAAATTTGTTGAAATGGCATAAACAACTTATTTTCTCATCATATTTTTAAAAAATAAATAAATAAAAAATGTGAAAAAATAGTTTCCCTCACTTCAATCATGAAAACAAAATATTTAATATAAATTTTCATCAAGGACGAGACATACTAATTAATGAAAAGTTGAACATAAGAATTCGACGGAAAAATTTTAAAGAAATAATTGCTATAATAAACAAAGATTGATGAGTTAACTGCAATTGAATTGTGGTGTATCGAATAAAAATTATAGCAATACAATCACCCAAAATTAAAATGTAAAACTCAGATTTTTTTTTCTTCCTAAAACTCCCTTTTATTGTGTGCTGCATAGTGAAGGGTTGGTTATATTCACTTCACATTTTTCTTTTATAAATACACCACATTTTAATTACATTGAAGGTCATTAACATTTATTCATTATCACACTTATATTCTTAAAATTTTTCCTTCATTGTATTCTTATATTTAACAAATCTTGTCCTTAATAATGATTTTCATTCAAAACTATTGTTAACATGTTTTAAAATGAGCGTCAAATATTTAATTACATTTTTGCATTATTGTTTGTTATGCTTATTAAAAAATACAATAGGCAAATGAGTTTTTTTATTCTATATTAAATAAAATTTTGGAGGGAATCCATAGTGAGGAATAATTTACATTAATTTTTGCTCCTTGCTCGCAAAGCGGCATACCGATGTTCTCTGTCCACGAAGATGCATTGTTAAGTACTCCATTTTCTTTTCCTATTGAGGTTGAAACTAAACTTGTGCTCGAGAGATACTTGTCCATACATTGATAAGGTATGTGTGGATTCTTGAGAAGAAAGGAGCCGTGGTGGTTCCCCATTTATCTTATAAAGGGAAAAAAAAGTTTGAAGGAAAAGTTTCATTTTCTCCAAAAACTGACACAGACCCTATCCCTCTACCACAGCGCCGCCGGTGGTTCCTCTCCCCACCCTCCGCCTGCAGATCCTTCCCCTTCTCTAATCAAAGTCGTGACCCCAAATCCAGCCCTTCTCAATACGTACTGAATCTCGGAGCTGTAGTGATGGCAGCGAGGAAAACACCAGTAGACGAAAATTGGTTCTTAGTTCAACACCTTAAAAACCAATAAACTCCTACCAGATTTACATGAAGAAAATGCGTCTGTAGAACCAAAACCAGATTTACATTAAATG